CCCGCCCCCAGTCATCCTCCAGAAGTCAACAGGGCTCTGGCAAGTTGCTGAAGAGGAGAATCGAGTTCACCAATACTTGCTGAGATAAGAACTGGAGGCTCCTGGCTCTTGGTGTACGAGAAGACCCTTTGATTCCTATCAACTGCTTCAACTGAAAGGACTGAAAACTTTTTTGTTTCTGTCCTAGGTTAATGGAGACAGCAAAAGAAATGACCAGGGAGTCCTTACCTATCAAATGCCTTGAAGCAGTTATCCTGGGGATGTATCCTTTCGCATGCCTATGACTTTTTCTACTGCAGCACTGTTTAATATATTGCCCTTCCTGGATGGTGTTTGAGATAGTCACAGCCAAAGGTGAGTGCCAGCAGCTCGAGGGACTGCTGTGGTATTGATCAACAAGTTGCTGAATTGCCTAGGCTTGTCGGTAGGAGTTTGGATGCCATGTGCCCAGTTCACAGGTGTCATGCTCTGGCCATGCCAACTTTGCCTCCTGCCCTGGTAATCTGCATAATGTCAGGATCTGACCCAAAGTGCCCAGATAAGTGTCTGTTTACACAGTCCCTGTTTTCTTCATTAGTTTCTTTCTCTGCCGGTTATTGTCGCAGCTTGCTAACACCTGAGGAATGCAGGTTCTGTTCTATGTCTGATATTTACACAGTTAAGTCATGTTTTTGTCTCTCAGCCCACAGATGTGCTTTGTGCAGAAACATATGTGTATTATAGTTAAACATTTAAGCTTTACCTTAACATAATGCTTGCTTCCTATTCAGTCTCAGAAAAAAGAACCAAGAATATTTTCATTTAGAGACTGACTCGCTTCTTGATGCTCTTGTGCTGTCACTGATAAATCAACCTGCATCATCCTAAAACACTAGAGGAGGGTGAGGCAGGGTTACAGGAATAATTGTATGCCGGATACGTCTTACCACAAGTGATCAAGTTTGATTTAAAACAAAACAAAAACCCAAGCCAAAATAAACCCCGAAGCAAACCAGCTTCTGGCATGTCTCTGTGGTGTTTTGCTTGCTACTGCTGCCCCCTCTCGTGGGAGAAGGGGCTGGCAGAGCCCGGCAGGTAGTGCCCGGTGTTGGCTCATGAGAGGGGGTGGCTGCTGCAGGGGTGGGAAGGGGACGTGGCAGAGCAAGTGTGTGGCGTGCGAGATTCATTGCCAGATGCGGTCTCCGCTGTGCTAGGAGGTCTGTGGTGTGCGTCGGGTGCTGCTCATGGCTGTGGTTGGCTCCCCATGTGCCAGGGACAGGCTTCAGGTCCCAGTCTGAAAGGTGGCTCTGGCTGATGGGGCTACCCCTGCAAATGCTGGCAGGGTCTGCATGCAGCTAGAGGGATGGGGGTCCTGGGGGCTTGATGTCAGCAAGAGACTCAAACCTATGCCCTCTCAGAAACAGAAATGATGTCAGTGGATCTGTTGTGCTTGCCCTTGTGTCAGGGTGGTGTCCCAAACTATTTGGGGACCAAAGGGTTGGGGGAGATAGTCCCCAGGTGAAATTGATGCTGCTCTGCAGTACTGAGAAGTGTCAGTGTGGCTTCTAGCGCTGTATTTCTAGCACTGAATTGATTATTCCACATACCACACAAGCAGAGGGTGATGAGCAGTGTACAGATGACCATGATAACCTAAAAGTATTCTTGCTGATCTAAAAGTTTTGACCGTTTTATTTTCATTTGGAAAGAGGGCTTTTTCTGCTTGCCTCAAACCTGACTATGGTTCAATTTGTTTTTTTAGCAGTGGGGGAAGCAAAATAGTTGAAAGCTATGCTTTGTATTATTTGGTGTAATCTGAAGCTTCTTTGGACTTTTAAGATTTGGATAAATCTTTCTGTCTCTGGATGCTACTTCAAAAAAAAAGTTTATGGAAAACTTTTTTTCTTTTTTAATTGAGAAGGCTTAGGTTGGGGAGGGTATGGGACAGGCCTATCTTCCTATGACTTCTACTTGCTGTCTTGGAAGTCTCCTGTGTGAGAACAGGGACTATCTGCTGGGGTGGTGGTGCAGTAACAGATGTGTTAAAGATCCATGCAATATAAAACCGAAGTATTTTGCTTGAGGTGTGAGTACACGAAGAGTGTAGCAGCGGTGAGTGGATGGGCTGTCTGAGTATGTGTGCTTTGAAAGTGACCAGTACGAAACCTGTGCCTGTGCAGAACCTTGTAGTGATGTGTTGCATGTGCACCATGGGGGTTTTTGGGAGGCATCTTTGTAACCGCACATGGGGAAGTTTGCTGATTTTTTTTTTTCTTTTTTTTTTTTTTCTCTCAGCTGTGTGATTTTGATCTTTAGCATTGCCCTCTGGATGCAGACGCGGTGAGGCCAGCAGCTGTGGCTTGCTTTCCAAGGTCAGGCAGTTACCAGATAAGAGATGTGGTTACCATCTCCTGAGCGTCAAACCAATGTCTTCACATATGTCTGAGCTGAGCATCCCTGTGTGTGTGTGCTAGCTTCTGGTTCCCTTCTCTGTCTCTGGAAATAAGGTACTGCTTGTAATTTGTGTGCTGGCAGGCTTTGCCGTGTTGCTTGGATACCAAAAAGAGTACAGCCCACTACAGCAGACCCTTGGCATGAGCCTTCATTCAAAAGCTGACTCGTGCAGAGCAGCTTAGCAAGATGTCATTTTAATTGAACTGCTTGCTGGCTCGTGCAACTGCCTTTTACTATGCGACTTCTTATAAAATGCTTCTGTAATCCCTCTTGGTACAGAATTAAGTTTTGCATAATTGCCTTCGCACTAGATCTTGTAGCGTTTTTATAGGGCAATGAGTTAAACTACTGAGACAACCCTGTGTGCATGCACCGAGGGAGCAGCTGCTGTGAGATGACTGAAAGCTCATACAGATCTTCCAGTTCTATTTTGCAGCAATCTGTATGGCTCTTCTTCTCTGTGTAGCTGTTGGAACTGGCTTCGAATCTCTCTGCTTACATGGTCTGCTTGTCACTGCCTAACCAGAGGTATTCCTTCTGCTGTCTTCCCCAGGGCATTTCTCAGTTCAGTTGCAAATCAGCTGACTAATGGTTCGTTCAGCTCATCCTTTCTGAGCAAGGACCCAAACGACTTGTGCTCAAGAAAGGGACTAGTAAACCAAAACGTGCAAGGGAATTTTATCCGTGCTGTATTCACTTTTATTAAAATGGGGAGAGCAAAATATCAGAGGGGGAGAAGGAAGTGGCACGGGTGCATCCTTCCTCAGGGAGTCTTGCAGAGCATCTGTGTCGGGTGAACATAACTCACTCCTGTTGCCTTCAGTGTGCTTCTCCCAGTTCATGTGAGGTAACAGTCAGACCCATGCAGTGTATTAGACCTCCCCCTGTCCAGTAATATGATTAAATGAGGAAGATGAGAGCAGACGTGCCTCAGGAGGGAGAAATTATTTAACAGCTTCTGCACTATACCTTCTGTGCATTTAATCAGTGGATGATGTTTATTGTTGCTGGAGACCTGGGCCTATACTGCTCCTGCTGCCTAGCAGGTACATCCCTGGGTTGGGAGTGAGTGAGAAGTAAGAGGGAGAGTTTCTTGCAGTCATTGCAGGATATTGATGTCCCTGCAGTGCCCCTCTTTGCCTCCTGCATACTTGTCCACAGCTTGACCCACTTGATAACTGAAATGTGGGCAAGGAGGGTCCTGCTGAATATCTGCAGCCCCTCTGGTAGCTGGGAAGAGCTAGGACAGACCTTTTAATCGCTTCCATTATCACGGTCTATTCTTAAGCTCATCACATCAGACTGCAGCTGGGTAGTGGAGAACAGGCGCCTTAAAACAAGGGATGCCAGTCTGGCAGTCCTGCTTTAGGAGGCTGAGCCAGCTGCTTGAGCCATTCCTTCAGGAGCACTGGAGCTGCTGGGGGGAACCTGGGCTTTCCGTGGAGATGACTTCCAGATGTGGGCTTGGTAGCCCTCTGCCTCAGAGTAAGCAATCCCACACCTGGGATCTTGGCACTCCTGGAGCCTGTGGGAAATGCTGTCTCACTCCAGGCTGTGGTTGGAAACTTCTCCAAGTGTTTAATACTGGTGGTTGGAGGCCCTCCGACATTGCGAGCAGTTGCTTGGTTGCTTGGAAAAATAGCTTTTCTGTTTTTACTGAAGTCTTATCTGATGGTTTTGAAGCATGAGGTTTATTTTCCTCCTGCTCCACCTCCTCACTCTGAGCTAGCAGCTTCAGCGTCGCTCGTGTAAATAAAGCTGCCTCCTCACTTGTCTCAGTTTGCTCTCATCCCCTCCAGCTTGCTTGTGCCCTGTGGCACAGCCTGCCACGATGGCTCGGGGTGCCTGCTCACACTTGCCCAGCCATTGCAAGCAGCAGAAGAGGAGGGGAACAGACACCCTGTGGTTTGCTCATCTCAACAAGACTTCAGCAAAAACCCACCCTTGCTGGCCTCTAAGACATGAAGCACTGCAATGTCATCTTGTCTGAATTAAATAAGGGAGAATTTCAAACTAATAAATAACAAATTGATTGGCACAGACAGTGCAATAGGCACTCATTTGCTCAATATCAGGTTCATCTGGCTTTCCCTTTTTTGTCTTTGGTTTGCAAGGCAGAGTGGGACTTGTAGCGGAGACCCCAGAAGGTGTCAGGTGTGATAGTGGGTCTTCCTGCAGCTGGAGGAGAAGCACTTGTAAGTCTGGGCACTGGGACAGCTAGGTGCTTAGACCCACTTGGGCATTAGCATTGACAGGCTGGTCTGGCACTTATATCTGAAACCTGACCATGTCTTGGTTTGTTTCAAGCTGCTGTGGGGGGCTCTGCAGGGCCTTGGTGCACTGTCTTACGTTTGGGCTTTTCTCCTTCAGGGCTCTGAGGATGAGGGTCTCCCCATGTCCCCTGCCCCTTGGGGTCTGCGGGTCTGGGTCCCTGTTGGTGCTGCAGGGGGGTGGCACAGTGCAGGGATGGTATTCATCTCCTCACCTGCTGCTAGTGCACCCCTTGCACGGTTGCTGCCTGTCAGCTTGGCAAAGGCACTGGTTTTTTTCCCCCAGCTAAACTCCAGTTGAAGCTGGTTTAAACACAGGTGGGCTGAGGTCCTTGCAGAGTGTCCCCTCACCCCCTGTACAGTTGGCTGCGGTTCCTAGTGGTGGTGGCAAGTAACCCGAGCTCACCTAGCCAGGGGGAACCAGCTGCTGCCTGGCTGGTGCCGTCAGCTGCTAAGACCTATTTCCAGAAATGTTTGAAGCCTGGAGCCACAGTGCTGGCACATGGGAAGGTCCTGCTCTGATCATTTATTAATAAGGGGGGGAGGGAAAGGGGGGCCAAGAGAGAACATAGAGAACATCTTTTCTAAAAGTTGCTGCTGGCAAATAAACAAGGTGAAGGACGTCAAATCTCTCTTCTAGCTGGGAACTGCTCTGTGCTCTGCAGTGGGGGCACCTGCGTAGCAAAGGGTCTGTACTGGGGGGAAGATGCTGGGACTCCTTTGTGGGACATTTTTGATACTAGAGTCTACCAGGAGGTGGAGGAAAAAAAAAAAACAAACCCCAAACCACAGAATGACATTGGTTGAGTCATTGTGTGAGTCTGTGGATTTAAAGAAAACCCATCCAGATCCTTTCTGGTCCAGAGTTTTAAAACTAAGGGGTTGACTCAGCTAACGCCTTAACTAATTCTCCCCTTTTCTTTTGAACTGACTAAGGATGCTACTCCTCCTTTGCTTCAGTGCCCAGGAAGATCCAGGTGGTAGCCAGAGTGCAGGCTTTGTGTCCCAAGTCTTGCTTGTATTTGAGTCTGGGATCTGAATGTCTCCCAAGTATCTAAGCTAGGTTGTGCGTGAGCTTGGGTGGTGAAGACGATTGGACTACGGGAAGCACAACCTGTGGCTCAGAGGATGGTGTGCTTGTGTTGACTTGCAGGTCCGTAGGAGCTGCATGCTGGCATGGGAAATCCGGCCCTTTCTGCAGGCTGCTAGCAGTATTGGTGTGCTCAAGAAAGCCTACTTGTTAATAGAGCCATACTGGTTTACCCCAATGGCCTGTCACGCCCGAAGCATGTTGCATGCTTTGGGCCCAATTCTTCTCACACTCCTTTGACCCAAACCTGTCTCTTTCAAAATCAACCCCCTGGGGTACAAAAGCAGAATTCATATTTTGCCTAATACACACAGCCCTGGCCGGCAGGCATTAGGCTCTCTGTGAGGTGGAAGAAATTGAGGTTTAAGGACTAGCATGAGGCTGCAGAAGAGCTGAGAGTCAGTGTGGGCAGGGTTTGGGAATGTCCAAGGGATGGGGACATGCTGTACCAAGCCATTCCCTTGAGACCCTGGTGGAGCTCCAGGTACCACCCTTGTGCATTTCCTGGATGTGGGGGAAGAGGAGGGATACTGGGGCAAGATTGGGGCCAGCCAGAAGATTGGTGTCCCTTTTGTGTGATCTCCAAGAAGATCAGCATCCCTCAGTGCTATTTTTCTGCTGCTTTGATTTACATGAAGACCTGGGATCGAGAGGCCACTGAGCTTTCGTTACAGCTGCTTTTGCCCTCTCCTGCTCTGCACTGCTTCTCTATTGTGGCACATAATTTACTCCCTGACTCTCCATCCTGCAGTTACAGTCCCAGCTCAAAAGTGTGATTACAGCTGCGGCATTGCTGTGTCGTTGCCTTTTGTTTGCCACAATACAGCTCTCCTTGGGCAGAGCAGAAAGGAAGAGAAATAATAATGATGCATGGATGGAGGGGAAGATCTGACGTGCCTTTCCAGACCATTTGCTGTGTATTTCATCTCGGGTGGGGGCTCTCATTAACTAGTCACTCAGCAGAAGCAACCTGTACCTAAAGGTTAATTTCCGCAGCAGTTGTTGCTGGGTTATTTGATGGTGGGTAATTTCCATCCTCAAAAGATTCTTTTACTCCTACCTAGTATTTAATGAGATTAAATTGCAACTTCTCCGAGACCTCATGGCAGAAGTGTGTATGTGTGGCAGGTGGCCACCAAAGCTTTGTGTGGACTTAATAGAAAGGCACTTGGGGAGCAGAGAGAAAACCCTTTCATAATGAAGGGGAAAAATAGTGGCGATGTTTGAAAGCTTCATAGGTGTTAATAAAAGATACTGCTTTTTCAGTTACACAGAATGATAAATACAATGGGCTTCTGCAAGAATCTGTCTGTAGGATACAAATTATTGTAACATGACTTTGATGTACAGAGGATGCTCCTTTCAAGGCCTGGAGCAAGGTGACCTTTTAAATGAGATGACTGTGGGCTGAGTTTTCCAGTTGATGTAACAGTGCTGGGCCCCATTCTGACCTTGCAGTGTATTTATGATCTTCAACTCTACCAATGGTGTGAGGCTTTTCTTGGAGAAGCTAGTGCTAGTGCAACAGTGATCTAGCAAGATCACCGAAGGCAACAGAGCTATTTCTGTTCTGTGTTGGTGTAGTTGATATCGGGGTGAACTTTGACAGTTGCTGCAGGGTGTTTGTTTGATGTAGGTGGGGCAGCAGATGGGCAGAGGTGGGCACACGTAGCCTTGGCTGGGCGAGGGGTTGTGTGCGCAGTAAGGAGGTCTGGACTCTGCTTTGCACGCTTGTCCAGACTTACTGTTGTACAGATACTGAAGTGCACCAGGAGCTGGGCCCATAGTGTTGTCCGTTCCTATACCCTCTAATACATTTTCTCCAGACCACTAAAGCTGATGACATCTAGCACTGACTGCAATTAAATATGTTTGACATTGAACCGAAAAGCTTCCCTGTGGCTGTTCTGAAAGATTTTTGCCAACGTGTTTTTCTTGCATTTTTTTTGTACAGAGGTTTAACTCCTTACTCTCAACCTCAGATTCTGGGCAGTTCACGAATCCCTTACTAGTTGGTTTCTGTGTTCACCTGGAGGGCGAAAGTTTGAATATGTGAAATTCAACAACCATCAAGTGGGTGAAATATCCCCTTGAGAAAATTCTTTAGAGACAGATGAGAGCTGCTGGATGGTATTCCTGCATCCCTGTAGAGAGAAGAGGTGAAATGCAGGGTGCGGATGGGGGGGTCAGCATCCCAGGGAGTTGCACTGGTGGTGAGGTGGGGTGTCAGGCTGGGCAGAACCAGAATCAAGCCCGAATTGTGTTTTACGGTATTGGCGCAAAGGCTTTTTGTGTTCTCAGTTTCCCAGCAGCTGTCGGGCAGCCATGCTATGCAGACAGGGGAGGAAGGCTGGCTGCAGTAACCTCCCAGGGCATCTCAGCTGTGCAGTGGCTCTTGTTTCGCTGCTGTTGAAGTCCTCCTTTTTGGGCATAGGGTAGGGAGAGGAGGGGATGCTGGAGATGCCCAGAGCAGGACTCTGGTCTGAGCCGGTTCCTGCAGCTCCAGTGGGAACCAACCCCACTCCTCCGTTTTTCAGGCTGCCCTGACACTATCCTGGCAGTGCTGCCCCTCAGGCTGGCATATTTCGTAGTGGCACTGCCCTGTCTGACTGCCTTGACAGCGTCTGCCTCTGGGTATGGCTCTGGGGTTACAGTAGGTGCCTCTGGCTGGAGTAACCCCAGGCTGGAGCGTCTTGCTGCAGCCTTTTCTGGTCATCCCTCCTCCATTCCCGGGGCGTGGGTGGGGGGTCTCAGCTGCAGAGGGGAAGGGCGCCTGCTGTCCTGGGGGCTGGGTGTCAGCAGTGGAGCCAGGGTGGGTTTCAGCTGTCCGGGGATTAGTAGCAGGGAGCCACATGCAACGTAGGTGCTGACGCAAACCTCCTTGCGTGAAGGAATCTCAGTCTCTCCTCCCGCTGGCACAGGCCAGCAGCCTCCTGAGGAGACGACCTGGACTCACGCGTAGTTCCCCTCTGAGATCACCTACTACGCTGTTACAGAGCTTGGTCCCGGTCTCTGCACGTGGTGCATTTGAAATGGCCAGCCAGTGATTCAGGGGACATGTTTTGCTTTCTAAAAGTGTTTGTTCCTGACCATGTCTCAGCTTATCTAATTAATTATCCGCCTGGGAGCTTTACTTTGTTTGACTCAGCAATGTGTTACAAAGGTAACGTGCAAAAACGCTGTTGTATGAAGAGTGGCCGATGGCCAGTTTACAGCTGGAAAGGCAGACTGTCACCCTGAAGAGGAATAAATTCAGACTTTTTTCTACTGTTTGAAGATGTGGGAAAACGAGGATCAATAACCTGAGTCCTACCAAACTCCAGCACGAAACGGAGGGAAACGTTGTTCCCTTTTGGGAGCATGGGAGTTTGATGTTGATATCAAACGGGGGAGTTCCCACAGATCTGGGGAGGGTGGTCTCTCTTCTGGTGTGCTGACCTGAACACTGTTGTGTTTTTTTCCTTGCCCCCAAGCGTGGTTAGGAGTCAGGCCCTTCCCTGCCTGAACCATTGCATCTTATTCTCCAAGCAGTGAAATGGGCTTTGGCAGCATTGACTGTTTCTGTGTCACAGCGAGAATAAACTTGTGTTTGGGAGTAAGTGCTTGCCCTGGCAGTTAAAAAAAACCCAAACAAACAACCTGCTAAAGATGTCTTACAGGTGTAATTGTGCGTGCTCTGTTCCCAGCGCTGTTGTTGCCTTGACGTGCACACCAGATACTTAACGAATGGGCAGCCCTCTGTAGAACGATTCCCCATCAGCTTTAAAACCCACTTCTCAGGGAACTATTTTCATCATGTGGTGCTCGGAATTTACTGCAACGGCCGGTACGGCTCACTGGGCATGAGCAGACGATCAGATCTGATGGACAAACCTCTAACTTACCGAACTCTGAGTGACCTCATCTTTGAATTTGAAGACTCCTATAAAAAGTACTTGCATTCAGTCAAAAAAGTAAAAATCGGATTATATGTCCCACACGAGCCACACAGCTTTCAGCCCATCGAGTGGAAACAGCTGGTCCTCAATGTATCCAAAATGATGCGCACAGAAGTCAGGAAGGAGCTGGAGAAGTTTGCCAGGGATATGAGAATGAAGGTAGGTCTGTGTGCCTGGGCGGTGGACTTGGAGGTGGGTGTGCCTTGTCCCATCATGCAGAGATTGGTTTTGCTTCATGTCAGCAGACTGACCCTGGCCTGAGATTATGGTGGTATCGGATGGGCTGGGGGTGTGCTTACATCTGTCTTAGTGATTCTCCCATAGGGTTTGGTGTGTTTTCAAGCCCTTACAGCTATTTTTTTTTTTTTTTTTTTAGTTCAAGGATCTCCCCTTCAGCCTGGGAAACACTTGAACCCATACTCATCCCTGGCCATCAAGGAGCTATTGCCCAGTTTGCTTTTCTTACTGACTCAGGAAGAAGGTGGCTAGGAAGAACCAGCATAGCTGGGGCTCGAGCTGGTGGGGTGGGTAGCTTGGTCGCAGGTAGGGATGTCTGCTCTTTGCACCTGAGCTGCAAGGCATCCTATAGGACAGCTGTGTCAGTGGTTGCTTCTCCTTGCAGGGCATGCTAGTGGGCTTGCCCTGCGCTGCCTGATGTCCACCATCCTTGGCTAAATCGCAAAGTAGGTTACATGGGAAGGGTGAGGAAAGTGGGTCCCTGACAGGCTGGTGCTTCCCTGCTGGTTGGTTGGACTGAAGAGCCCGGAGGGAAATGATGGGGAGACAGGGCAGGCTGCCAGAGGGCTGGAGGGTTTAGCTGCACTTGGGGATGAGGGGTGTCCCTGACCGTGCCTCTGGGGCTGGCATGGGCGAGGAGCTGTTTGTGGTCATGTTGGTAGGGGATTTGGTGCCTTTCCAGCCCACTGCTGGCAGGGGGAGCAGAGCAGGTGTGTTGCTAAGTATGGAGCTGGCTCTTGTGGAGAGGCATGCGGCATTGCATCCAAGTTATTCTGGGTTCCCGTCCCCTGCCCTGCTGAGGAATGGCTCCTACGTAGCAGCCGTGTGCCTTTTTGGCTGAGGCACCTGCCCCCTTGCCCTGACCTTGGGGTGAGTGTTGACAGTAGCATCATAATTGCTATGTCCTGCTGCCACCTCTCCTGACCTGCCAAGGAGTTTTGAGGGCCAACTTGTACCATACTGTCACCTTGAGCAAATGTGCTTGATTACAGCTGTAATGAAGCTTTTTTTCCCCCTTCTTCTCTATTCATGCACTTCTAATACCATCTAGAAAACAAACAGCTGAAGCAGGCTCTACTTGAAGAAGTCGATATGGGTGGATGATTTACTGAACTTAGTACTTGCTTTTGATAGAGGGACCAGCTCTGTCTGTGCTAAGCTGTGACATTGGGTCCGGTCCTTGTAAGTGCCTCAAGGCCAGGACCACAGCCCTGAACCCCTGAAGGCCCTGCATCTGACTGTTCCCTTGAGTTAATTCAGAATTTGAGCCAGTTGATTCAGAGGGCTTCTGTTGTGAGGGGGCTGACTTTGGAGGATCGGGTCTTAAAGATAGCCTGGAGTGTGAGTGTCACGCTGATGGGCTTCTGAGGTTGGAGGGCCTGGGGGATGTGGGCAAGTGTGCAAATGGACAGGAGACCTACTGAAAAGTCCCACTGTCACACAGAGTTCAACTGCTAGCCCGGGAGGCGGTTGCCTCTGCAGAGAGAAAAGCTGGACAGGGTGATTTAGCTGCACGAGTTTCCTTCAGCTGATGCTTAAAGCCATTTTTCTTATCCCTTGCTGTTGCCAGCTCTGAAGAAGGCTGCGGATGAGACCTTTTTTTTCAGTATTTAGCTGGGAATTGAATTGGTGACACCAACTAATTTTTGCAGAGGGCCCCTGAACAGCTATCACATGATAACAGCTTTGGGTTCCTCTTAACCTGGGCAGGGTTTGAATAAGCTCCAAGGGACTGAAGGCTCTTTGTGTACTGTCCCCACTACTGTATGAGGCCCTTTATTTTTATTTTTTATTTTCAGTGAATCATTGCCTTTATTGAACGCCTTGTCCTTCCCTCCCCCATCTCTCGCAGATTCTGAAACCTTCAAGTGCCCATTCTCCCATGAAAGAGCGATCACGGGGTAAATCGTTGTCCCCTCGCCGAAGGCAAGTCAGCCCTCAGAGACGGGCATGCAGAAGAGACAAATCGTGAGTATTCCTGCTGCCATCACTGGTGGGCCAGAAGTTGAGGGTGATGACATATTATTTTGCTGTACAAAACTTAGATGCTTACTGACATATATAGGAAAACTCTACTGGGTGTCTTGGTTGCCTGAGAGGCTCCAGAAGCTGCTGGTATTGCTGATGTCCTGGTATTGCTGTGCTTAGTGCTGCCCGATGGCCTCTCCGTGGGGGGTGAGTCCTTGGAGGGCCCGATGGCTTTTGCTTGGTTCAACTTGGTGTTGGATGACTGTGAAAGTGGAAGTGTGGGTTTCCCCTTTTATTTTTTCAATCTTGTCGTGGTTTAACCCCAGCCAGCAACTAAGCACCATGCAGCTACTCACTCACTCCCTCCCCACCCCCCCCAGTGGGATGGGGGAGAAAATCAGGAAGAGAATTAAAACTTGTGGCTTGAGATAAGAACAGTTTAATAGAACAGAAAAGAAGAAACTAATAATGATAATGATAACACTAATAAAATGACAATAGTAATAGTAAAAGGATTGAAGTGTACAAATGATGCGCAGTGCAATTGCTCACCGCCTGCCAATTGACACCCAATTAGTCCCCGAGTGGCGATCCCCCGACCCCCACTCTCCCCAGTTTACATACTAGATGTGACATCACACCGTATGGAATACCCCGTTGGCCACTTTGGGCCAGCTGCCCTGGCTGTGTCCTGTGCCAACTGCTTGTGCCCTTCCAGCTTTTTCGCTGGCTGGGCTTGAGAAGCTGAAAAATCCTTGACTTTAGACTAAACACTACTGAGCAACAACTGAAAACATCAGTGTTATCAACTTTCTTCTCCTACTGAACTCAAAACATAGCACTGTACCAGCTACTAGGAGGACAATCAACTCTATCCTAGCTGAAACCAGGACAAACCTTTATACAGTCCACTTTATGGAGAAACAAAGAACCTAGCTTGGGGTGCAGGGGACTGTTGTGAATGAGACTTTGTTACACAGTTTTGGTTTAGCAGCAATTTAAGATTTATTAAAATTTCTGAGAGAGATAACAAGATTAGGTTGGATAATTTTAACAGTACTTAATCATCAGCCAATTTAACAGTGTGATTTGATGGAATTTGTTACAAGCGAATTTGTGACTTAAAGATTTAAAAATGGCAAGGATCACCTGAAACTTACAGCAGGGTTGCACACAGATGGAGGTTAAATCAAATCACACACATGCATGGACAGAGAAAACAGTTCTGAACCACACAGACAGACAAAATAGTTCTAAACCAAACTGCAAATGCATGTGCACAGATACAACAGCTCTGAACCAAATTTACCTACATACAGAGAGGTTAACCTATGATTAAAATTTCCCTTTTGTGAGTTGCATTAATTACTCACTTTTATGTGCTGTCATTCATCAACAGTTGGTCAGTGAACCTTGTGAAATCAGGCCTTTAAGTCCTCGCAAAATTGTTGATGGACGATCTTTCAATCTTTGTGAAATCTATCCTGAGAGGTGTCCCAGCTCAGGGGGAGACACTGGGTCACAGAGCCCACAGAGGTCCTGGAGGACTCAAAAGGTCTTACCTTGGATTGCTATTTATAGATATATAATAATCTATAAACAGATGATTGCCTTTGGTCATTATTTTACATTCTGGCCACAATTTGTGCTGAGTTCACACAATTCAGGCAGCAGATGGCCCAGATGTGGCCAAAGACTACCTGATGCCCAAAAGTGGCTGCACTTGTAATCAAAATAACATCACAATGGGAGGTTTTCCCAAAGCATGCATGGCTTATCCTGAGATATCAGAGTGGCCCTGGGGGAGCTGCACCACCACAGACACCTGTACAGGAGTGAAAGTAGTTTGATCACATTTAATGGTGTTCAGACATAGGTATTAAAAACAGGAGGATGTATCTGCTACTGGTGGTGAGGTGCCCTGCTGTCATGGTCACTCAGACAGAAATTGGATTCTCTGTGATGAGCCTTTGTACTGAGCTGTTCTGATGGAGTGGTTTGTCCAACTTACAGAGATGGTGAAAAAGTAAACCTTTTCTCTTCTTGCCAAAGTGGAAACATGACTCGCATTGTATTCTTTGATTTTAATCTGCTTAAAAAATCCCAGACTACTTCCCTTGTGTGTCGTAGCTAGTAGTTTAACTGTGTGGGGAAGGGTGCACTAACTGCATGCAATACCTCTAAATGGATGAAACTGAGCTTCCAGATCATGGGCCTTCTACAGCCACTGGCAATTCAGACTCTCATACCTTAGACGTGGAGGAGTTGAGTTTTAGCTGTACTGCCTCAAGCCAGGAAGCTGACAACTGTGAAAGCCTATACATAACCCAGATTAGTCACATATTTATAATGATCGCTTTTTAAATAGGCCCCCAGACTACTGTCTTAGCACTTATTTATTTATTTTAAAGCAGCAAACAAAGACATTAGACTAACCTTCTAAAGATAGCTTCTAGATACTTTAGCAGCAGATGATTTCACAGCAGGCTTTTTTTTTTATGTGTGAATTCACACTCAGTCCACAATGCTGAACTTTGGGCTTCATCACTTGAGAGCTCCTTGCTTAGTGAACAGATAATTATAGTTGTAATGGGCTCGGCTGCTCCAGCCTTCTTCACCTCCTAGATTTGCTCTGATGGATGATTTCATCTTTGGGTTTCTCATAGTGCTTCTGCAGCTGCTGGAGTGGATCATGTATGTCTGGAGAAAAGAGTGAGTCTCACTGGGCTTGGAGATTCACCAGTTGTGCTGGTTTCCTGAGAGAGCCGCTGGGCACATGGCCACTCTGCAGTGCCTGATTTCTCTTTGGCAGCTTTGGTTTTCCAGGACAGAAAGACAAAGTGAAGTACTGGTGGCCTTGCAGTGGCTTCAGCACCTGTTACCTGCTTGGTGGTTCTGCTGTGTCACTCTGTATGTAGAGCAAATTACATGTTATTCTAAAATAAACCCTGGGTCACCATGATACAAGATCCAGGACCCAGCTATACCATGATGCAGGGAGCAGGAGACAGAGAGCAGACTCCACGAGACCTTCATCTTTGCTTTTGCGGAAGGCGTTGAAGCACCTCTGAGCAGGTGGGAGCTCTTGCAGCATGTGCTTTGTGGTTGTGTGACAGCCCTGCGGATACTGCACAGCCCCCTCACAAGCCTGGCCGGTACGCTTGGAAGCAAAACGGGGAGTGAAGGAGCTTTCAGCAGGTCCAGGGCCCTTGAGCAGATCTGAGAGGCTGCTCTCTGTTAGAAGAGTGATGCCAGGGAGAACTGGGTTCCTGATGTTAAAATGCTTCTTCTGTGCAGTGGTGCTGGTGGCTTGAAGGCTGACTGTGCCTTTTGCCCCAGTGGGAGTGATGCTGCAGAGGAGTGTGCTGGTGTAGGGACTTCCCTTCTTGTGATAAATCCCTTTCATTTCCAAAATCAGTACCTACTGGTTTCTTCAACAGGAGGTCTCAGAGATCTGAAGGGGGAACAGCATCCCCTCATTAGGGATGAGCTGAATGACACATACCAGCGTGTACAGCAATTGATGCGGCGCAAGAAATACAAGAGGGGGAATTGGGTATTTTCTTCTGCATATTGATGTATCTCTGAGAACCTAGGTGCAGTGAGAGGCCTTTGTATTATGCACAGAAGAGGAAAGACTTTCAGGCTTGCTAGGCTTTAGGCTGAAATCCTAGCTAAAGAATGGCCGTGCTTATCAACACTGTGTTTTGTTTCTTTGTGGATCTCTTACTCACATGCTGTAATTACAGCTTTTTAGAGCTTGTAGGGGAGGGGGAGAGAAGTGTTTTGCTCTAGCGTGAGCTGGCAGGGGCTGAATAACACATTCATTTGAGAGGCTTCACCTGCTGATGACAAGCTGTTATTACAGCCTGTTTTTTGTCAACAATAAAATTATACGGGCCTGCTGGGAGAGATCTCCCAGTGAAAAAATATGTGAACTGGAATGGTGAACTGGAATGTCTTTGCTGGATTGTTTCTGAAGTACAAAGGCTGAAGCAGTGCTTAAGGACAGAACAGCCCCAAACCTTTACCTTCTCATCCTGGTTCCTTACTAGTTTGTTAGGTAAATGCCGGTGGTGGCCACAAGCAAGCACACGATAGTGTTTTAGCCTGAAAATACAGCTACAAGGCAGATAGAGTATGTTGCAGAACATGGGTGGCAATGCACTAAGCAGTACGTGCCTGTGTAGGAGACTGGTGTGTAGTCAAATTGCATGAGCTATGGTAACAGTCCATGTGCTTTTAGCCCACAGCTGATGTGATCCTGCTAAGGGTGGCCAGCAGACAGGGTGAATAAAGAGGATACAGGGTGGTGTGAATCTGTCTAGTAAGTCTGAAGCTTTACTGCATCTGCTTGTCCATCCTCTGAAGTCCTAAAGCAGGAAGGTGCAGTAAATTGCAAGCCACTGTGCTGGAACAGGCAATGCAGTGCTTCATCCCCAATAGAAGTGCTGGAGCTGGAGGGGTTTGGGAGTGTTGGTATGAGTTTGGACGGGAGCATCATGCGGCAGCCTGCCCCTAAATGTCAGTTTACCAGATCTATTTCCTTTTAATTTTATACTGAGGCTTAACACATGCATGCTCTGTGAGTGTCATAGCAACACTGGTCTTGTGTGCTTCTGGCCTAATTTAGCTGTTGAAAGGAAAATTCTGTTAGTCCGTTATATTAGGATGTGCAAGGGGGCAGGATTGTATTAGGATTATATTATATTAGGATGTACAAAATCAGGCAGATCCAATGCAGACAGCTCATGAATACTGTGTACCCAGCAGCTATGCAGTGCTTATTCAGCTGCTCATTACCATGGCACTTTGCACAGGAGGTGTGATCTGATGGGTGAGTACAGCAGAGGTCTCTTGCTTCTAGAGGGGATGTTTGACGTCAGGTCATTTGCCAGCCAAGGAGAATAGGAGCTGTGGTGCCTCTGCTCCAAAAAATCCTTCCCTTTTCCTAAAACCCTGAAGAGAAACCTTATGGAGGACAGTCTGTTGGTAGCTACAAGCTAGAGAATTGTCATGGAGTGGAAATGGGCATGTTGCCATGGTTGTGCAGTGACTCCCCATCTCTCTTGGATAATCAGAGAAGGTAGAACCATCCAGGTATGCTTTAAGTAAAGCCATATTCTGGCTTTAATTGGAGGGAAGGAGGGAGAAAAGGGTGGGAAGGGAAGAGGATCCCTAAATTTGAGGGAGGGGGAGAGGAAGGGCAGGCATGCTGAAACATACAGCGCATCTCTTGCTGGTCTCTGACTCTTACGCAAGCTCTGAGGAATGCAGCTTGTAGCTTGTTTTCTGGCTAGTCAAATCCCATCTGCTCTGAAGGAATAAAGTGGAAAAATCCAAATATCTTACAATGATTTCTTCAGGTGTGATCCCTTCCTGCAAGTGACAGAGATGAGTGAAGACTCCTTCACTTCTGTGAAGTACTTACAAACTGAGACAAACACGAGGCAGGGTGCAGGGCAGTACTGCAAACAGGATGATGGGGTTAATAGAGGTGCTTGGATAAGTGGCAAAAAACCAGGTTGCATTCAATGTGTGACTAGGCAGAAGAGCATTAGTTGTTCATAGCCATGTCCCCAGCTCTCAAATGCTGTGCAAATTCTCAGCAGGGATCTGCTGTTAGCAGCACTGCTCTTAAAACAAACAAACAAAACCCCAAAACAACAACCCCCCCCCCACTCATTGAATCAAAGAATTCAAAAAATATTTCTGAGGCTCCGCTGCTGCACATGTATATGTGTTGATATATGTAAGCTATACATCCCCACCTCTTAGGGCAGCAGCGGTACAGCTCTTAGATTGGTGCATGCAGCCAGCAGTGTGCCACAGGCAGGGCAGGGCCTTCCCTGGCCTGACAGCCTGCCTGCTGCGCACTGCCTCTCCTGGGGCTGTGCTGGCTGCCCAGAGCGCTGTCGCAGAAATGGGCAGGCAGCATGCAACGAGGAGGGAAGCATCAGCCTTGCGTGTGTGAACTCACGGGTCATATCTGCTGCATAATGAGTGAAAACTAAGTGCAAGAGCTGGAAACTAGGTCTGAGGAGCTGTAGGTAAGCACTGGGGCCGTTACCAGCTTCATGCTGTACTACTTAGGCTTTATCTGTGGTTTTGCAGTGAGGCAGACGTGCTGTGGAGTCTACTAGGAGAAACATGTATTTTAAACAATGTCTTTCTTTAGAAAAGCAATATATGGCTTAGCATGAAAATAGCTAAGAGCCTGGAATAAACTCTCAGATTAGAGACACCTCCATAGACTATAAATCACCAGGATTGTTTCAGTTTGACAACTTTGTTGCAGGAGCTTTTCCACTGCTTGCTAAATAGGGAGAGACTGATGGCTCAGTCTCAAGGTTTCTTTTGGTTCAGGTTGTTGATGTTCTTAAATGACCTAACAGCATGTGTGTGTGTGATTATCAAGTGAATGGCTGGACTGTATCAGAATATAAGATGCCTGGATTCTGAAGGGAGTTCATCTTGTGTTGTTTATTTGGTGGGCTCTAGCCATTCACAGACCTAGCCAAGAGGAATGGGCAGGTTGAGAGACAATGTGCTGTGGCCATGTTAGAGGCTGTGCCTGTTTGCTCTTGGCTGTTTCCACTTTATTCTAAAAGCCAGAGTCCTGCTCTGGGGTAGATCACAGGACGTGTCTAGCCTTAGCTACTCATTTAGGCCCTCTCTAAAGTCAGAGGGAGAGGGGTGCTCCCAGGATCAGATCACAGACCTCAGGATGGGATGATGTTCTTAGCTGGTGCTTGGCTTCAGAGGCAACCCACATGAGTAGCTCGGTCACACTAGTTCATGTGACAAATCCAGCAGGATTGTGCTTATGATGAGAAAATTAGACGTAGTCGGTCCTATTTTGAAGTAAACCATTCCTGTTTTGACAACTGCTCTCTCCACTTCTGCATGGCAGTGTGGGATTGCTGGTGAGCAGTGCCCTCTTCCCTCCTTTGCTTGCAGGCCTGCGGTGGTGGACAAGAAAGGAGACCTGGCTACGCTCAATGAGGTAGGCTACCAGCTCCGCATCTAACAAAGCCATACACTGGACAGAGGGCTTCCTGGTGCTTCCCGCTGCACTTTACCTGCACTCCGTTGGAAGGAAAAAGGAATGGGACTATTTATTAACTTGTGGACTCTTACAATTAAAGTTTTACCTAGAAAATAGAACAGGGCAAATTCTTTTTTGGTGGCAGTATTTATTTTATTTCAAATTACAGAAAAGGCATCAGTGAAGAGAACCTAAAATGATGTTTGGCAGGATATGAGATTATTTTTTTTTTCCCCTCCATCATGTAGCAGGTGACTCCAGTGGTGTGAGAGTTTCTTCAAATATAATTTCCCTGGACAAGTATTAATTGAATTTGGGCATTGTGCTGGGTAGTAGCATTGGGATGACTAAGAAATCATATTCTTAGTGTTAAGATGTGCTGGGGTGCAGTGCAGTTAAAAAATCATAGTATTTATTTAATTCAGCAATAAAAACAAGCAGTGCAGAAGTGGCATGAGTTTTTAAAGTATCAACATTACCTCACTAAACTTAACAGATATGCAAAACTGTCAGTATTATTGTTTTGTAACTAATTTGTACTGTTGCCCAGCATTTCTGGTAGTATTAAAACAGCATTGGATGTTTTACTGCCACCTATATTACTATTTTGTGCATGTTGCTGAAAGATGTTAAGTAATAGTAATATGCAAGTGGTATTCTTAAACACTGACATCTTATTAGGCAAAATACAAGGGTTTGGGTTTTTTTAAAAATGATGATAACTGATGAATAATGAATTTTCAAGCTTTCGTAATTTTTTTATACTTGTCACTAGGTCTTAGTCTTTCCGGACTACACTGCTGAAGCACAAAACATAGAGATTGCTGTTTTGTAGAGACAAGTGTTCACCTACTAGTCAGTTTGTTTCTCATATGTGTTCCTGGAATAATGGAAAAAATGTCAGAATTGCTAACCTGAGTCTATATGCTTTTCTTTCAGCATTTATGTGTAACTTTGAACCTTGTCTTTGAAAGGCTGAGCAGTCTCAGATGGTGATGCCTTGACATCTTATATTAAGATCAGACATTGCAGGCTGAAGTTAACCTTCTGCCATGCTGCTGTAGGGAGTTTTTCCTATATGTGTTGTAGTAACAACAGCTTAGTCAGACTTGAATAAGGAAGCTTGTATTGGAATAACTTCAGCAATAAATTAAATTGTATGTCTGAAATAGCTGAAAATCAAGCTTGTCTGCTTCCTCCCTACTCAGTCCTTTTGTTCTAAGATGTAGCTAAGGACCTGTGATGGACAGCAGCGTTCTCAAGTGACATGGTAAGACTTTCACTGGGGTCTACCACTGGTGTTAGTGAAGTTCTCTGGAAGCATTCGAGTGCTGCATTCCTGAAAATATTTCATTAGGTGCCTAAATAGAAACTGGATTATTATACAAGTCCAGCCTCTACCCTTTGTGCTGTACTTGTAGATGATACTGCCATGGGCCTTGTGTACCTCCCCTCCTGGGCACTTACTTTTTTGGGATCTCAATGAAGACAGGACATTGTAACACAGTGATGACAATGCTTACTCAAATTGAATGATTTAAGCTCCTAGAACACTTTTATCAGCCAGCAACTGAATCGATACAGAAGGAGATGATTGCTTGTACACAGACCTCATTGCTCAAAAAAGTCAATGAATCTTACTTACGTAGGACAGGAAGACAACATCAAGACCCAGCAACCTTCTACAAACAGTGAAAGGCTTTCTACCAATTAGACTTCAGAAGGTCTAGAAAGAAGACTTTTCAAATGTATTACACCTCTTCAAACATGATTACCATATCAATTACAGGGAGGTCTTTCCCATCCCTCTTTCTGCAAACTGTTCCACTCCTGTGTTCACAATAGGATTTTTTTTTTTTGGTTCAGGAGTGAAATTGAAGAGAGGGAAATACTCTTTCAGTAGAAATTCTTGTGTAATTTGACATCAGCTGCAGAGTTTCAGTTGTAAAATTCATGCTGCTGAGTGTCTTGTGACCTAAACAATTTTTTTCATGTATCTTAGATTTCTCATGGGTAAAATGATGTGAAAAACTTACTTTGATCAGCTGTATCCTATAGCACAAGGTTATCTGATATGTTGCAAGGTTTTTTTTTCTATGAAACCAGGGTTTACTTCAGCTCAAGTAGTGATGGTTGGTAGATAGTTTTTACCATTGTCCAGCACAATTTGAGTTATTTTCTCTTAACCTCTAACTTATACTGAAACTTTTCAATGCTGTAGAGGTGTGACAAATTGCTTTTGGTTCTCATTTTGAAGTTCAGCTGAAATATTCTCTTGAAAATTGCTTATGATGGCATTTGTCTTAAGTGTGGTTCTAGTGACTGTTCTTCTAACTTACTGCAAAGTGGTCAAATAGCGTAGAAAATATGCATGACTTTGTTATTTTTAATCACTTGTATGTTTAGGCACAGCATGAAACTTCAATAAAATATCATGGTAGGTTTGGTTTTTTTTTTTAAATGACTTTGGGTTATTTTTTGTCCAGTCCAGGTTTCTATTCCAGAAAAGATCTAAGTAATTTCTAAAATCAAGGCAGGACAAATGGGAATGAACTAAACCAGATATTTTAAGATTGTTAAATACCTATCTCATTATTGTTCTACAAAGAAATCACTGAACATAAAGCCCTTAAGCCCACCCTATAGCTAATCATTAATGGGTTATTATATATGTAAGTCTTCATGCTCATTAGACTTGGTTTTATTTCAGATACTTTTGAAAAGATGCCAGTGAATGCTACCTATATTTAAGCTCTAAGAAGTTACTTTTTAGAACATAAATATTTGCCTTACTGCAAAGCTATCTTCTTCCTTTGGAAGTCTAATCTTGCAGCCTCTGCACTGACTACACTCTAGGTAACTGAGGAAATTCCTTTGCAGAAGCATTTAGATGAAAGTGTCTACAGAGCAACTTTGTAGTAAAACAGTACTTTCAGCTCATTATAAAGTGTGGCATGCACACAAACTCACTCCCCATTACTTGAAAAAGCACACAGTTCTCAGAGAATAATCACTTTTACTATGATTTACAATAAAAACCATTTACAGCATCTCTGTGAAAAATAATGCCATTTTGAGACTGGCACAGATGTTTTCCATTATCAAAGAGGAAGCTAATGTAAAACCTTTTCTTTTTGCCTTAAAGACTTCATAAAGTAATTTAAATGTTTTTTTAAAAAAAAGTCTCTTTAAAAAGTCTACACAACACTAACAAATCAGCATGCATGCAAACTTATTTAAACCGGACCAGCAGTGCTTGAATTAACCTTTAAAAAAAAAAAAATAATCACATAAAGAGAGAAGGTGAAGGTAACTTTACCTACACAAAAAGTCCTTTGGATATTACCGTTCAATAAGCCTGAACTCTGCTAGCAATGGCAGGTGGTCAGAAGAGTTATTTTCATTGGGAAGACCATTAACAGTCCAAAGATCTTTCTCTGTTAGAAGGGCCAGCCTGCCAAGAAGTTTCAGACCTCCATGAACAGAATCTTCTGCTCCTGGTTTAAAGAAAAAAAAAAAAAAAAAAAAAAAAACATTCATCATTGTGGGCTTAAAAAAAAAAAAAAAATCACACATACATACGCACAAGGAAAAAAAACAGTATGGCAGAAAATCTGAAGTCATTATTGTTCCATGCAAAATCACCAATAAGGTAGTTCAGAAATTCTTCTTGTTTGCTATTACTCAGTACAACTTTGAGCTCTGCTGATTCTAAGTACTCTGCAAGACACTACCCCTCCATTTTGTGGAGGGATAAATTGAGGTAGAAAGGGAAAGGGATTTATTTGTTCATTGTAACTCCCCTGAAAAAGCCTTATACAATCCAGTCCTATACTCTGGCACAACAGCATTGCTGAACAGAGCTGAAACTTGCAAAATTAAGCATCTTTTGAGAGTTACTGGTTCACATAACATTTTATTTCTGTATCCTCAAGCATGCAGTTCTCCAGCAGGCAACTCATACAGGAACTCTTCTTGCTCATAAGGAAGAAAGCCTTCTGGCATTTCCCTTCCTATCTGTTCACAAGAAGGGGATCTTCCTCCATTATTTCCTGCTACCTCTTGCTATTATCACCTAAAAAACCCCCAAACAAACAAAACAACCACTACAAAAAAATCCCCCACCACACACACACAAGAAACACCATATTGCTCATGGAAGAGGGGAAGATGACTCACAGCTTTGCTATTATTACACCTTATTATTACACTATACTTAAAATATTTGTGTCTTCATTAAAAAAAAAAAACAAACCCACAAACAAGAACCAGAAAACCATCACCAGCAAAGAGTAACAAGCTTTTTCCAGCTCAAGTAAAGAAATTCCATTGAGAATGAGATAATTCCATGGTGTGTCAAACTTTTAGACTTCTGGAGCTATCTACTTGAGTGAGACGACTATTCAGCAACCCTAGCTATTGCTTTCAGAGCACAGAGATTACTCTGAGCAGGTTGGGTGCTCTCAGGACCAGCACAAATGGCAGCTGTAACTTTGACAAGAATATTTTCTATATGAAAGTGATCAGCAATTTCAGAACTACCTGGCTGAACCTGGTACTGGCTTACAATTAGGCATATTTTAAAGGATTATCCAGCAACTGTTAAAACTCCTCAGATAGTTCAACAGCTTCACTCCATTGCCATCTGCCAGCTTTCCAGTTCTCTAACAACGCAGCAGCTGTTTACTGCTGCTCTGAAGAAAAGTTTTTTACTGCAAAAATGTCTCAGTAGCTCCACAGCACACATTTGCCCAGCTCTTGAGCCAAATTTATCATTTGACAGCACCTGCATGGCTACGAAGGAGCAGTTTATTGCTACAGAGAGCTTGGTCTGCATGCAGTGATGTCAGCTCAGAGTACTCTGGAAACAGCAAAACTGAGTCCTGCAGGACTCGGGCAGATACTGAACGCTGCTTTCACAGCAAATCCTGCATACCAAACCAAATACTTGGCTAAGCATGACATAGACTAAAGCACAAAAACTTTCCAAAAAAACCCCCTTTAAATGGAAAAAAAAGTGATCCATCAGCCTAGACCACATTTAATACTCACTTGTTCAGACTGAAAATCCAGACTATTATTTAGTTTCTAAGAACTACCAAAAAAAGCTACAGCAGTTTAAACTACCTGGAGAATTCAAGTTTGGTCTCATTCTGTACTCTGATGTGGGGTGAAGAATCTATTTGAAAAACAAGTGCAGAAAGAAAAAAGTGCTGTAGCTCTGCTGGGACAATGATGGTGCAAGAAAATATATAAGCATGCACATTAGGATTAAATTTTGCACAGGTATGCACTCTGAAGTCACACAGCATTCAGAAGTTATTTAGATACTTCTCATATCCTAGTTTTTCAGTCAAAGCTTTTATTTGTGTTGTAAAGCTTTTGTATTTGATACTTTACATTAAGATAGCATTTACTGTGCGTGTTATGACAAATGAGACATTCGTGCATTGACTCAATGAATTTCAACAATCTAGTCTCAAGGTATAAGAGATGAAGGTGGTATTTTCATCTTGTGTATTGAAAACAATGTTAATTTATAAAAATCAGTTGCAATCTATAGCGGGAGCAGGAGTATAATCCAGGTTTCTTTGTTCTGAATTCTGCGCAGCCATTTATCTGCTAGCACTGCACTGTGCAATGACCTTTGACGACGGCATAAAACACAGAACTAATGATGACATGGGAAAGCACGCTGCTCAGAAGTATCCATGGTAAGAGCGCAAATGCAGTAAAGGATAGCACTGTGTTACCCATCAAGAAACACACCTGCGGAGGTACCATGTCTTTCTTGCACCATCTGGTGAGTTTTAGCTGCAACTGCAATCAAGAGAGTGACAACTGGGCATGTGCAAGTGACTGCTCTCAGAGCAAAGGCCACAAAAGGTCATTTACTTGACAGACATTTCATCAAGACTATCTGAAAAGTAACCTTCTAAGAAACAGTTCATTTATCAGTTTTAATGCACATCGTAAGTTGCTGTTCACCATTTTGTCGATTAAATGATTGGAAATAGTACTTCCTTGTAGGTCTGGCCACTAAGGTCCTGCATGAGTTACTGACAGCAGTATTTCTCAGGTGCTACTTACACAGCTGCTTTTCTGTAGCCTCAGCTCTTGTCTCAATACTGAGATGGCAACTACAGGAACACTGAGGTAGGTGGAAAAGTTTGCCCTGTGTGGCACTACAAGTCCAACTGTGGGGAGTTGACAAGGCCAGCCACATTTCTCAGGTAACAGCTGACATTCAAGGCACTACCACAAACCTCCAAGGTACTTCATATGGTTTAAATTTTCACTACGTTTCCCTTAGAACAGCATCCAAATGTTCCTATTTAGCATTCATGAAAAATAATTCACCTGGCTGGGCAGCAGTATCATCATTTGCTGCAGAATAGAAGATATAATCCACAGTGACAGCACTTCGGGAGTGACAAGTTGTTACTTCTGGTATCCCAGTTTCAGGAAAGTAATGAGAATATACTGAAGACAATTTAAAATGATGCTGCAATTTTGAAGACAACCTAAACAGGAGTCAAAAGAAAGGGTTTTTATTTTCTTGTCTTTCCAAGACTAAGCAATGAAGAAATACCAAATAGTTCCTGGTTACAAACAAAATTAATTATCTGGATATGCAAACTAGCATTTCTCTCATGTGATCAACCCCATAGCCTTTTGTGTAAGTGGCCTAAACCTCTGAAGGCAAAATGCAGGCAGCTTTTTCAAGTAGAAGGCAGACACCCAAGAGCCTATCAAAACTGGCTAAACTGACACTTCAAATATACATAGCTTTCACCTCCATCTACACTTCGTGTGAAGATTTCATGTGTCCTTGTTCAGCAGTCTGTCCCTGACACATGGGTAGAAGTGTCCATGAGAGCAGCTTACATGAAAACAACAGACCCTGAACTCATCTAACCAGGCCCTTCAGCATATAGAGAAATTAAGATTTTTAGTTGTTTTTTTCTCCCCTAAACTAAAGCTATCAAGTGCTTTCATGTTAGGCTGTGCCTAAGTTTCTTTCCTCCACTCAGGCTCCCATTTTGTTTCTCCCCATCATGTCATCAGTCTGTTCCTCTTCAGTTCAGCCCATCTTGTCTCACCTGTTTTTTCAATCTTGAAAGCAAACTGCAAAACTGCACCTTTCAGCAAAAGAGCTCCTCTCTCCCTCCCAGCCATTTGCTCCCATCAGCACTGCAAATCATCCATCCCTCAGCTCTACCTGCCTCACCTTGCATGGCTGCATTTTAAACCTGAGCTGCAATGTGTTCCGATTAAAAACCAAGCAGTTTAAAGAAAAAAATCAGCATGTTACCTGCCTGATTTAGAGAAGAGACACAAACATGCCAGTCAATACAACACAGAAGGTTAGTAATTTCTGCTCTTGTTAGATGACATCCTTTTTAAGATGAGGCAAAAAACCCTGCAAGCAGTGTTCAACATGTGGCATGCTATGGGTTTACACCATATAATAGGGCTTCCTGTCTTGTCATCTACTGCTTTTCTCAGAAATGCCATTACTTAGCTTTTTCATCACCAAGAATCACCAAGGGTTTTAATATACTATCTGCAGTGATACCAAGATTTCATTTCTGGTAAGAAATGGCTGACTTGGAGCCTGACATAACACATATACAGCTAGGGCAATTTCCTTCTATGCCTTACTTTGTATGTCTTTACCAGTTTGGTAAATGCAAATACATTCTTCCTTTCAAAAAGCAGTTATATTTTCCTTCTCAGTAGTCTAGTGGTTGCTTCCTCCTACAGTTTAATAAGCAAATGTTTTGATCTGAGTAAGAGTTGTACTACCAAATCCATAATACTCCAAATTTCTGGGACTCAAAGAACTTAAATTCTCCCACAGAACTTCTGACAAGGAAAATCTTCCAGTTCCTTTCCCTCCTTCATCCCAATTTCATATTGTATTATAGGATTTTATTAGCATCCATAAACCAGTATCTCAAAAACAGTAAAAAGAGAAGTGCCAACAGTTAAGCAGCTGGACAACAATGGGTTTTTTGTTCATTTCCCCCCACCTTAAAAACATGGTTGCTGCAACTGGACTGAAGTTCACAGCTTTCCTACGATATCACTACAGAGCAAGATGCCCTGTTTATATCAAGGCGTGACTAAAAATGTCAAAAGCATTCTTTTAATAAGCAGACAGAAAGCACCCTCTAAACAGCACTGACACCTCGCCCCTGCATTCTGAAATAATATCTGCAAGTTCCCACAAGAACACACACTCCATTATTTCCAGTTCTAGTCTTTTGCTGTCTGATCAGTCTCTTCACGTTTAAATGGATGATGATTTTTTTGCCAGATGGGCAGACTGGGTTGGCTCAGCATCTTTTATCCACATCTGGAATGAGATGCAAGTTCGGTCTAAAAAAAAAAAAAAAAAAAAACCCAACAAAAAACCAAACCAAAAAACCAACCCCCAAAACTAGGAACCATAAAGGGCCTCCATTTTTTTCCCCAACACATACTTTTCAGATGCTATAACAATCTCCTGAGTGTTGTCCAGTTTTGCTGCTTCCAATTTTTCTCCTGCAAAATAAAAATACATTCAATTTACATTTAAAAATAGGATGTGGGTGAGACCAGTATTGAAGAGCTACAGAAAGGAAAAGCTACAGAAAAAAGTATCTTTAAGTACACTTATTTTTTTGCAGCAGGCAAGATACAATTCATAAAGCTGGACTAAATTCTTCTGTTGAATTAGTAAGATCCCCTCCAAAGACTCTTTCAAATTATGTCCCATTCATTTAAAATTGTTTTTTCTGTCAAAGAAAAAATGGTGGAGGAAAGATGTAGTAATACTCAGCAAGGAATCACTCTGCACTATAAGACATAAACACTGAAGCAGAACGTATATTCGTGCTGCATACGTGTGCTGCATTCGTCCATCTCTTTTCCCAGTCACAGCACAACTGGCTCTCATGATGCAAACACAATAGTTTAAGTATTATGCACCAGCTTGTGAATGGCAATTTCTAACTATTATCTTCTTAAGATTCAAATTTGCAACTCTTTACGTGAACAAATAGCTTTAGACTCTAATGAGCCCAACAAAGAAGTTTTGCAAGCTCAAGACTCACTGTTTTTCCCTGACTAGAACAAAACATCTGTTTTTCAGTGCTACCTGAACGATATTTTCAAAGGACCACAAAACTCATCAACCCAGAAACTGACCTGCATTTTCTTCTTTTTGTTGCTGTTTTATTTCATATACACAGTTTTGTGAAATACCTAATTTTTTTGGCCAAATTGGAATAGATAAGATTCTTCGTCCCCTTGGAAACTGTTCTTGTCCAGAGACCTAAGGAAGACAACATGAGCTTTTCTCAGACAGAAATCTGATTTGAAAAAAACAAAACAAAACAATACAAACCACAACACAAAAGCAACAAACCAAAACCTGGAGTGGACATTTTTTGTAAATTTTAAAGTTTTAAGCAAAGCAAAGCCCCACCCCTTTAGAATAAATCTTTTATAATGGCTTGTCAAATCTCTGTAAAAATAACAAACACCCCTTATGTACACCCCCTTTGTTTGCTCTTACCAACTTTTTTGCAGGTACCCAGTTTTTCAAGATAGTTCTTGTGACACTAAGCTGAAAGACTACCAAAACCACTTTTAGCAACATAACAGGACTGAGTATATACAGCTCCCTAGCAGACACTTACTTTATCTTCATGACGTTTACTCTTCCGGGAGCAAGTCAAGTCAAAGCTGGGCTTGAAACAACTACCCGCTAGCAACAAACACCAGTGGGGTTATTTTTTCATGTCTTCTCATTTTATGTACTCCAGTTACTTTCTATTAAATAGCATTTGACACATCCAACAGCTATATACAAGAGGTTAGGCTCAGCATCTAATTGCATTTTTGCTTTTACAATTATTCTAGCCACTGTAATTCAAAGTTTATCTAAAATAAGAGTCATCTTTCCATGGAGTACACAGTAGGTATTTGATTAAGTAGTTATTTTATCCTACTTAAAGACTGGGACACTTAAACACAGTAATACAATCATCCTGTGGATAACTACGTTTCAAGAACAATTAATTTGTTTGCAAGTTTTTAATTTCAGAATGCTAGAAGCAGATACAATATTCTGTAAGGCACAGCTAATATACTCAAGCATATTTTAGTAAATCCACAGTAACTTTCGCTTTGCAGACTGCGTAAAGGGCCCTCAGATTGGTACTGCAATGGAAATAATCACAGCTACAGCATACTAGCACCACTCAAATATTTCTCTTTAATCAGCATTAATCTTTTTTTTGTGAGAAGTGAAAAGCATAACCTACCTTCCCTATAGCAAGTCCTTCATAATTTAACTTTCCTTCCTTTATAAATCTGTACAATGGAGAACCAGGAACAGAATTGAAGTCACCACAGATAATAATTGGACAGAAGGTACCATCCTTCTGAGGGGCAACACTAGCAATCTCTGCCAGGAGCATTGCAAGCTGGGTCAGTTTGATGTCCCCTCGCCTTGGGTTATACAGCAGATGTGTATTGGCTATACAGATTGCAGCATTAGTTTTACAGTGAAGTATAGGCTCCAAAAGCAACACCAGTCCAACGTTATCCCTGTCCAAGAGTGGAATATCGTGGCGAAAAAATTCCACAGGGTTTGATGAAATCAGGCGAAATTTGGAAGTTTTGAAGCAAATGGCACAGCCATCAGGTTTTCTCCCTGTCCTCATTTTATACTCACAGTGATATCCTGCAAGAAAGGCAATTAAAAACATAAAATACCATTGTATAGAGATTATTTTTTAAAAAAATTAGAAAAACCTCACACTACTTTTCTTACATGGCAGTCAACACCCAGTCTGAAGTACCAAAGACTATGTGAAGTTCACATAGAAAAGTGAACACAAGAGTCTTTCTGTCCTGTCTAGCTTCAGTTTACATACTACAGGAAACGTGGTCTGATACCTTTTGTGATGTGTAACCACCTACATACTTTAAGATACCAGGCATGTTCTTCTCTCCTCACGTGGAAAAATCCCAAACCAAAACAACAAAAAACCCCTCTGCAAGTCACATGAAAGTGGACTTGCGTATTGAAGTTTTTTTCTAGATGTTACCACAATGGTTTAGGAATAATACCAGAGAAGCATTCGAACCAAAAGCAATAATCCCTGTAAATCATAAATCACTGTCTAAAATGATTCATAGAACAAAGGTCTCAAACATATTTACATAATTATGTAATTATCATGTTAGCAGCAAGCTTTCAACAGGGAAACTGAGTCACTCATCAAATGACAGTATCGGAGTTCAAACAAGTCCACCTGAAAATAGTAATTTGCCAAGTTCTTCATTTTATGTAGAGGTGAAATGCAGATTTTAATGAGACCTTATTGATGTAACAAAAAACTAATGATCTTGAAACAATATCTAGTTTTTGCCATTTTAAAATGCTTCTCTGCCCAGTCCATGCCATATGAATTCATAAAGTACAGCCCCCATGAAGTGGAACGAGTCGACCTCTGAGTTCACACCAGTGCTGGAACAGAGGATTCCTACTCCTCTCTGCCAGCTCCAGGCCATGTGCTCCTGCCACTTGTTGTGGCACTTACTGTTAACTCAGTAAGCCAACAGAAAACTAATCCAGGAATAAAAAATTAGTCTGGATAGTATTCTGCTGGACTGGTGGATTTCACCAAGGTAAAGGTCTAATAAGTGCCAGAACTAGGCCGGAAGAAGGGGCAGGACTGGGAGCTAGGGAGAGGAAGAGGAAGAGCTACAGCAAGCTCCAGATCCTCATGTATAGCAGCAGGAAGCTCGGTTGCCCAGACGAGCCTGGCCTTACAGTGTGGTTTCACATTTCAAGTGGATTTAAATCAGTACTGCCATTACTCTACCTTCTTTACAAACACTCTATTCTGAGAGCTAGACTACCTGCAACTAACCAAGAAAGAAAAAAGTATCAGTCCAGTGCTGTTCCTTGAATGGGCTCCTCCTGGCATCAGGCAAGTACCAGTGCCAGGAAGAGAATGGGGTCCTGGGACTTGAAGGAGGTGCAGGGCACAAAAGATTTAGATCAGTTTAAACCACCATGGAATCACACCCCTAGCAACATGTTCCTTCCATAAATTCACACGGGACAGCGATAAGACAGTGCTATTTAGGCTGACTGACAGTACTAGTATAAAAACTAATTAATATAAACTCACCATGGATAAAATTTAGTGCTGATATTTGGAAGGTTTCAAGCCAGAAAAACTATCTTAGAAAAGCCATCCAACAGGAATACTAGTAGAAAACACTAAGGTAGTTTCAAGAGAGCACTTGATGAATTTATAAAGGGGAGTACACAACATTGTTGCATCTCATGGCAGGAGACTTGATTCTATAATCTAAGAGAGTTTTTCTGAGGAAAATAATACTGGGGCAGGGGAGAAGACAATGTATTGGTCACAAGAGTTTCATCATACCCAGGGATTCCAAACTTGACTTGATCTCTGTTCTGTAGTGGTCTTCTTGGACTTCTTGTAAACAGAGTACCTAAGGCAAAAATTTACAATTAAAAGATATTAGTAACTACATCAAAATATTACTGTATCATATCTCTGTTGACCAGTCTGCATAGGTATTAAAAAAAAAAAAAATTCAGAGGCTTTTTGTCTCCGTAATTGCAGAAAAGGATTCAGTCTCCTATAGAAAATGCTCCTTAAAATTGTGAAGAGGGCCTCAATTCCTCCCACCCTTTCTCAGACAGACATACATTTTCAGATGTGAAATTAAATTTATGAAAACAGTGACCTGCTAATACATTCTCAGCAGTTTAGGGGAGGGCTAAATGCCAGAGCAGTGTGGTGAAAAGGTCAAGGGCACACTTTTCATTACCTACAGAGTGGACAACAAGCTTCCATTTTATAACAACCTGAAACAAAGATCAACCTCAAAATACTCCATTAAGAGAGTTCTGAACATCTTGGAGTCTTCTCCCTGCACACTGCAGTAACACACAGATTTACAGCCACCTTAGGACTCTGATGAAGGACTGAGTTCCTGAAGGGTAACAAGTTAGCACTGCTTGCTGAAATGCAGCAACAGACTGTACTTACCCAGCTGATGCTAGCTCATTCAAGGTCTCAAAGGAGAACCAATATTCAAGCAATATTCTGAAGTCTCTGCTTCACTTTAAGGTTACAGTTCAAAACAATTGATCAGTTAAAAGTCTATGTCCTTTAGCAAGAAATTCCTCTGGGCAAAGGGCACCTGCACCTACTAGGGTATGTGAGCAGCTGCTCATCATGACTCAGTGCATGCAGTACAAGGCATCACCTCTTTACCCCACTGCTGTGTTCTGTGGCTCTGCAGACTTTAGCAAGTACCCTGAACTGAACTGCTTTTTGCTAGAGGGGTTGGCTTCAGCTCCAACCCTTCCATCCTGGAGAACAGTCTGTTACCACTAATAGCACCAGGCAGATTGTCACCAGAGTCCCTTTGTCCAATGCTCCTCCCAGAAAGCCCACTAATGTATCTCACTGTAAAGATACATACATACAATATGTATAAATTTATTAGGAAGAAAAGCAGAGCTTGAAGGGGACTTTAATGTCCAGCTTCCTGGCTATGTACTAACATAACTGCATTTTTCAAATGGTACAAGGTAGGTTTTTTTCTGTGGCTTCCTTAATACAACTACTTTGATTTTTTCAGTACTGTTTTCTGACGTGAACAAGTTGGATTCTATCACCAAACTTTTAATGGCCTGAACAACTGAAGCAAAAAGTTTACTGACTTGACTTCCTGAATAAGATTAACAGTAAGTGACATGTCCTCAAAAAAACCCCCCAAAACCCCACAACCAATCGAGAACACGGTTAGGTATTTTTTGAGACCCCAATATAAGCAGAAGTTCAGAGTTATGCCTCAGAGAACAGCAAGCTTGTTCACAAGTCAAACAGTGCAGAGTACCAGATGAAGAGAGAAATGAACACCTCACAGGAATACTTTTGGATCAGTCTCACATGAACGCTACTAACACCTGCATCTTTCTCTCAGCCTTGAACATTAATCTCAAGAAAATGGAGATCCACATACCAGTCTCATCACTCCAGTCCTCATACAATCAAAAAAAGTCAAACATTTGAGTCTGCCTTCCAAATAAAGAATTCAGACATAAGTTCTCCATTACCTGGTCTAACGAATGGCTCTGAAGGATTAGCAGCCAGATTTTAGAAAGAGACTTTTGATTCACTGAGTATACAGACTCTTGGTGTAACTACTACCTAAACAAATATGAAGTCAACGTCACACACCTGGAAGTTAGAAAATGCCCGTCCTGGAGGTTGTCTCAATTTGACCCTCCTGTGTGCATGCATACTATTTTTCCTCCACAAAAGCCTGGCATGCAAGATTAAGTGTTTGCAAATAACAACCAACTATTCAATCTTTCACATCCTTTGTACCAAGTAACTTATGGCACAATTAAAGAGAGAGCCTCCTGAACTGTACAGTCCCAGAAGCTGAGACTATCCTGGAGAAAGGTGCCCTGTTCTCCTACTCTAAGCATCTATTGTTAGCTACTGTTACAAACATGACACTAGACTAGGTGGACCTTTGACCTATGCAAGTAAAGCTGTTCTTATGTTCAATGTCCTATTTAGAGCACTCTACTCAAGTGTGCTCTAGGCGCAGACTGAGAAAGATTTATGTGAAGAAGGTTTTGGACTTAAAAAAAAAATTGCAGTGTATCAGCAGAACATCAAAGTCATGTCAAAAAGACCATTCTAGAAAGTTATGGACAAAAAAGGCAACTATGAGTAATATGCACTGTAGAGTTTGCCTTTTCTCTAAGTTCAGATCCCACAGAATACAGTAATTGCACAAGCATAAATCAAAACTACTGTTAAGCATGGCATAACTAAACGGTCCGTTGGATTCACTAGACAGCCCACCTATCAAAATAAGGAACAGCAAGAATTGGCTACTCCAGTTTATCAGTTTTTAAGAAATATCCACATGCTCATTTTCTACTTACATCTGCATCCAGCTGTTTGATTTCTTGTAGAATGTTGGGAAATCTGTATGTCCAGATTAACAACCGTTGCCTGCAGTGTTTGTACAGGTGGGAGTTATCTTCTAACAAATTCTGTGAGAGGATATTGTAGGACATGACTGTAAAATCAAATTTTGCCTCACTTTCCGTATTGCTTTGGTCAGTTTCTTTATTTTCAAAGATTTTCATTGTTCCACTGTGCTGACAGAAATATTCCCAATGTCTTTTGACAGTTCCTGTTAAAAGCATATGAAGCAGAAAAAGTTATGTAATAGACCGTATGACTTCTTACTGCTCTTAGAAATCATTCCACTGACAACTATTTGTCTTTCAAATTGCTTAAGCAATTAACAATTGATTAGCAGTGATTTAGACCCTCTGTTTAAGATGAACTTTATACAAGCATCAGTAAAAAACAAAACAAACAAACAAACACACCCACACACACACCCCCATCCCAAAACACAGCACAAAGCCATTAATATGCCCTGGATTTCAAACTGCTTTGAAATTAGGAAACTGACATGTTCTAAGGAGATGGTTGCAGTCAGAGTACACCACCCTGCTCCCTGTAGAAAGGCCGTCAAACTGGTAAACCAAATCCAGTCTGTTGACGTAGTCTTATGCTGCCTTCTGCCACTACCTCCTCAGTGGAGATGGGGTATGTCAGTCTGGGGTACACCCTTTAGAGCAGCATATGGGCATCTTGTTGATCTCTTTAGCCATGACTAACAAGGGGAATCAAACAAAGGGTTCAGCTCTAGCCTGTGTACAGTCTGAAAATCTCAGCCATAAGCTGCAACAGGGTGCATTACAGGGGTCCCAAAACAGATAAGGAACCTGATCTCCCTCAGTGAGGTTGAGAAATTAAAAAATTAATAAGCCTCAGAAATACCAAAAACTTCTGAAAAGGCTTACTTCGCCTTTCTGCCATTCCTAGTTTCATACTTATTCTTAGCATTATTATATGAAAGTTTATAAAAATATACCTGCCCATCATTAAGCATCCAATTATTTTTCAGATATGTATTTCTCCACTTACAAAACTCATGAACAAAGGTATCTTTCAGCCTTTATGTCTGAACTTATCTGAGAGTATACCGAGCTCCAGATAGCTGTGCTATCAACCAGTGGCAGACTGCAGCTATAGCTCTTAGTATCTGCTCTATTTGGGCATTAAATTTCAGCACTGTACTTACATTATTCAGGACTTTATCTAGTATTTGCAATGAATACAGCAAGGCTTTAAGTACTGCTTCTATAGTGGGAGAGAGGCTGCATTGTTCCTCAACAGGCATCTTTAATTACCATCACCTTACAATATGTGAGCAAAAGATAACCAGGTGGGACCACAATGATAACCACACTCTCAAATAAAGGTATGTCGACGGGGGCTTAAGAGAGGACTCAGCAATAAAGGCACAAAGCAAACTCCCTTCCTTCAGCTCCTGAAGATGGATATGATGTTTCTGAGCCTTATGGATATTTGTGTCCAAAAATCCCTTTGGGATGCAGATGGCATCTGTCGCCCTTTTCAGCCATAATACAACTTCCAGTTTATTTTGTTAAGGAAGTGATTTATGCAAGAGGGCCTTAATTTTTACTGTGCTCCTCTATTTGTTTCACAGTAGACAAAACTGTCACTATCCACAATACTCAGTAAAATATTTGGATGCTATGTAGATGATTATATCTGTAATAAGCCAACACAGACACTTTGAAGTTTCATGAAAGTCTGTTACTGAGTTGGGTAGACGTCTTTGCACTTCATATTGTATTTATCTGGATAAGTACACTTGCTATTTGCTCTGCCAGGCATGGTCTGACACAAAACTTGCTAACATACCAGTGGCAGAATACAGTTATAAAAACAAAACCACACAATCACACTGGAAGCAAACACCACTAAATCTCAGTCCATTAATTCTCAGTTATCTAGGTCACAGATAACTCGACTGGCTCAGAAAGAAGCCAATTCAGGTCCAGCAGGGCTTATGAACTCAGGTACAGCACAAGGAACGAAGCTATACAACTGCCAGCCCTAAAGCAAGTTAGCTAAATCTTTTTGCTTTAAAAGAGTTCCCCAAGTGAACAGACATGATTTGGCAACAGACACCTGAAAGAGTTGTCTGAACCAACCTCAGGACTCCCCAGCTGGGCAATCCCTCACATAACTGACTGCATTCTACTGCCAAGAGCAGTGAACCTAATTCCAGCAGACTGTTCGACAGCACAAAATACAAGTTTACAGACTAAACAGCATTACAAAATGTAACATTTTTAAGACAGATGTTTTCTTGAGAGAGGTGCCAAGAAAAACAGTAACTCAAAAGGTGTAGGCAATACTGCTTATAACTTGTTAGATGTGTTTAGCATTACAAATAAACAAGGAAAATGAGCAAAGAGCATCTTTTACCTTTCTTGCTGCTCTGTTTTTCTTCATTCTGTGCTACAGAAAGACACAATGCTTCCTTCTGATTGGAGGAGTTTGTTTCTTCTTCAGGAGTTGAAGTATCATGCTGGCCACTGAGTCTTCTCTTCTTTGTCAATGGCTCTTCTCCCTCAGATTTCATACTGGGGTTAGGTAGGTGAAAGCAAGAACTTTGCGTGAAGTTATCAAGCTGCCAATTAGAGTTCTGAAATTGTGTCCAAGGCCCAAAAAATGGAGGGAGTCTCCAGTTTGCTGAGAAATCACCTGGAACAGGGGGTGGAAACGAGGCCCAGGGATGGTGTCCGGCCCATCTCATACAGCTGGAAACTGGGCTGTTCAAGGCGAGTATCTGAGAACCATTCCAGTGGGTGATCCAGTCTCTTCCCAGCCTCTGCATGTGACGGGGCAGCATGGAGTGTCTACCAAAGCAAGCACAGGTTTCATTACTTACCCACAACTACATCTGCCTACAGAAGGCTGTAGATGCAAGTCATCCTGGTCGTGACTTGTAGAGAAATAATATCTTGTATAAGCTAACACATACAAGACATTCAAACCTTTTTAGATACATACAAGATATTTAACCCTTTATCTAAATGATATGCAGAGTGGGACTTTTCAAAACAACCTTGTATTTTTCTCCCCCTTCAGGTTTACAAATGCCATTTAATTTCCAAACTCTATCCATTTGAATAACTATTTACAATTTATTTTCCGCCTTGTTGAATTCAACTACCAGATCTTTGAAGTGCTCAGTGGAATGACCTTTACAAAAGGTCATTTTTGCATGCTGCATTAACTTTATGATAAGGCTATTTGAAAGGCATCAGAAAACCACTTTTCCTTCAAGCAGTCAGAAATTTGTTCAAAAGCCACTGACTTGGCTTAAACCACAATGCCAAGAAGACAGGGAAACAGAGGTACTAACTCTCACAGCATCCCTGGCACCAGCTTATTGACTAAATTTGTATTCTTATTTCTTTACCAGCTGGGAAAAGCACAGCTTAGTGATTAAAGCCATAGAAAATAAGGTGATTTTTTCCTTTCTTCCAAAAAAATAAAAAATAAAAATCTGTGTGGCAACAAAAACGCAGGAAGGAAGGCTGAGTGACATCAAAATGTCTCAGCTTCCTCACTGTTTAAGTAAGAAGGCGTATTTTTAGCTTACAAGCAAAAGATATCAAAGATCAGTATGCCTTAAGCTGAACTAAAGCGAGAACGTCCCAGCTGCCGTTCACCCTAGCAAACAAGCCTAAATACAACTTCCAGCAAAACCAGCTTCTGAAACAGCACTTGCCACCACAGCGCACCAGAAGTAGCTCGACAGACACATTAGCAAAACATACCCCAGGGCACCAAGGCATGACCACGGAGCCGAGAGGAAGAGGCGCCACGCCTTTGCAAAACCCTCCTGAAACACCGCTTTTACGGAAAAGCGCTGAGAAAGTCTCCCTTCCTAAAAGTCCAGCCCCGGGCTAGTAACTTCCCCACAATCACCGACACCCGGCAAAGGAAAAGCCCACGGCCGCGCCGTGTTTTGTTTACCGCGGCCATGCTCTGGCTAATGGCGGGTATTTAAAACAAGTGACTGTCCATCAGCCCCCGACCTGCCCCGCCCGGCCGGGCCGGGGGCTCAGCTCCCGCGGCGGGGCCGCTCGCCGGCCTCCCCCCGCCCCGGCGGGGACTCGGGGCTGTCCGTGAGCGGGCAGCTCCAGCG